ATTTTGAAATAATTAGGAATATGTTACGGGAGCTACCTCTAGGGTTATGTGGAAGTGTTTAGAGATCTTTTGAGGTGGTTTAGATTAGATTTTAAATAGGAATTCAATAAGGTTATAATTGGTTACAATTTTTATAACTATAATAATGAAATTAATAATTGTTCTTGAGCATGAAGCTCTATATTATAATGAAACCCATTCCCTTATATAGACCTTCATTCTCTGTTATCCCACTGCTTTCTACTGTGTCCCATTAGACCTTACTCAATGAGACTCAGTGGGACACCTTGGTCAGGTGATATTTAGTTAATCTAGTCATGTAACGACATCGGTCGTAACAGAATAATTCAAATGATTTAAATTAGAATCTTTCTAATTGAATTATATAATAATCACAAATCGAATCAATTTAAAGCTAATTTATATAATAATATCAATTAAGCTTTTTTGAATAATATATTTATTTTTTAATAAACTAAATTAAATGAATGAAATATATTATTGAAATACTATTATCAAATAGATTTAATTCTTTAGCAAAAATATAATTGAAAGTTTTCAAAAAAAAAAAAAATTCTTTTATTTTTATTTTTTATTTTTTTAATATTTGATTAATTCGAATTACTAATAAGCATAACACTAAAAAAATGATATTATTTAGAACTCAATATATATTTATTAATTAGAAACGTTTTATTAATAAATAGAAGTATGAATATCAAGATAATACTAAGTATATTATTAAAGTAGCTAGTGGTTCGTTAGCTGATTAAGTTTTTACATGGACTCAAACGAATCACTAGATTATTAGTCTCTCCGACTGACTGCTCCCACGAGAAACCCCCGTCGGGATTTGATCTCTCAAATCAATTGTATGACAAAACAGCAACAAATGAAACATATAAACTGGAAAAGGTCAAAATCATCATTGGCTGTTTTTATTGGACAGAACATCGAACGATACGGCACTATGGTGTTCATCCAATGTCAAGATTATAATCGTGTCGGCTCAAACATTCAACATCTAATAGCCCTACTCAGCCTTGTTCAATTAATTAAAGTTCGATCAACATGCACCTCTTTCAAACACTTTAATAGACTTTCGATACCTAGCTAGTAACCTCAAAAGCTCCTAAAGAGGCAAGTGTGGCTAGGTAGGGAGTCTCGCAGGTCAGGAAAACAGGAACAACGAAAATCTACACTCATTTCAAAACTCGATATCAATTCAGATAATCATTATTGCTGCTTGAAATCTGATCAAGGATGCTTATAAGCGTCGAATCTATAAATATTATATATATCATCTTTATTTTGAACAGAACTTGATATTATTATGAAGTATCAAGACATACCAAAATATATCAAAATGCATCAAAACACAAGTGTTATCGATGGATAGTTCTCTCTGGTGGATTTGGTGTGCTGAGTTTTCCGTCCTCCCGGAGATAGTATCTCGGGCCTGTGGATTGAATGCGGATCATCGTGCGGAGATAAGAATTTCAGCGAGGTTAGATAAGACATTTATTAGAGAAGACATTTATCTCGATCCAGAAGTATTGCAATGGTAGCTGTTTTATGACCTGGGCCTTGATTTTTCTTCTCTTTGGAACAGGTGTTAACACGTCTTTATGTCATTACGTTTGTTTGGTAGGCCGGTTTGGCGTACTTCGTCTCTGCGTTATACTTTGCCCAATTCTCGGCATATTTCTCAAACTCACAAACCTCCGCCATTCCCTATCATACCAAAATGCCCCTCACCAACATGTTCTTGCGCAGAAAGCCCGGAGATGCCAGAGGGCTTCGAGATAGACCATTCGAAGCCACTCCATGGAACAATGGCCGCATATGCTGAACAAGTTCTGATATGCACGGGGAAGCCAGATTGGCCTTCTCGTATCGAGGAAGAAGATTCTGGGGATAATCTCGCTGCGGACATTAAGGAGTTGATGGGCCGTGGCGGAATGTATAGTGATGTATGATCAACAACAACCCACCTTTCTTCAGTTGAACCGCTGTTAACAGTGTTCTATATAGCCTTACAATAACGTTTCTATTACAAATTCATCCTTTCCTTCTACCGTTGCCTCACATCGACCCGAAATTATAACGAATTCTGCCTATATAGTTCCATCTTTCAAATATATACCATTTCTCCCACGAGTATCGTTCGATTCTGTACAAGCTCTGGTAAAAGGGTACTTACTCCCTACGAAATTACACCCCGCACACGATAATCTATCTCCGATACATAAAGACCGCTTGCTGCGAAGTAAAAAACAGGCAGATTTCCTACCCGCCGTGAAAGACGTGAGAGATATATTGGTATTGATCTGCGGACACGGAGGACGAGATGTGAGATGTGGTATCATAGCTCCAATCTTGCAAGCTGAATTTGAAAGAGCCCTATCCGCGAAAGAAGTACAGGTCTTGCATGGTGCGGTGGAAATAGGTGACGGAAGCTCTACAGAACGATTAGAAGGACCAATTAAACCCACTGGAAAGACTGCAAGAATTGGGTTAATAAGTCATATTGGAGGACATAAATTTGCTGGCAACGTTATATTATATATTCCACCTCATACGAAGGCGAAAGGTGGTGAAGCTCATCCATTAGCCGGGTGTGGGATCTGGTATGGAAGAGTAGAACCAAAACACGTGGAAGGGATTGTGCAGGCGACATTATTAGAAGGAAAGGTCGTAGAAGAGTTATATCGTGGTGGTATCAAACAAGGTGGTGAAATTTTGAGGATATAAACTTCTCTATCTTCCAATAGGAACCAGTGAACTTGTTAACGGAGTGGCAAAGCATCGACACAAACATAGGTGAGGATCGACAACGAACTGTAGCAAGAAGAATGAGACACAGGAAATACCTTCATGACAGGTGAAAAGTTCTAAGATAAAATTAAATCACGCAAATTGCAACGGAGACATGTGAGATCTCACCCCAGGGAGGCAACTCAGGGAGGCAAAGTGTCCACATTCTGATCATTTACCAATTTGATACAACGTACGAAAATCAGTCCTGCATTGACTGTACGATCAAAGATTCAAAGGTAATCGACACATATTGTTAGTAGCATAGTGCTACACATAGGTACTTTGCGAGTCAGAGCTGAAAGTTCTCAAGGCCGAGGCTAGCTCCAAAGCGATGCGTAGGTACTGGTATGCATTCAGTAATCACATGATAAAGTCAGTACGCAATGTATGCAGGTAAGAAGAATTCTTGGAAAATTGCGATCGAGATTGATCATCGAGAACAAGCATCGGTATCGGGGGTCTTGGAACATATGGAAAAGGGGCAGTATGGAATTTCCAATTTCCATTCCACCATTTTATTGATTTTGGTGAACACGAGATCAAGCAAAAGTGGAGTAAGCTTCAACATAGAGCGGTCCAGAAACCACTTCTCGACTCTCGAGCCACTTATTAGCATGAGTTCCCGAGGTCCCTTTTCAAAAAGCAAGTATTTGGTGCTTCATATGCACATCAAATTCTAGAATCAGTCTTCGTATCGTCGTATGAAGACTGCTATGAAGACTGCTATGAATCTATGATACAGCCTATGAACCTATTAGCCACTCATGGCGGGGGATCGCCCCTCCGACCCGAAGGTATCCGCACCGCATGGCCCATCCCTTTCAACTTGGTCAGTCAATTTTGGGGTGGAAAAAGTTGGTCAAGCCACAGAGGGTCACCAATCACAAGTCATTATAGTCACACTTGTATCATTTATAGCTTCCAAGGTTAGCTTCATAGAGATCCGGAATGGCTTGACCATTACCTACTTTAATTGATATAGGCAACGTCTCCGAGCTACGTACTATGTCATGAGGCTTGTGTTTTACAGATCTTGATTGGCTTACAGCTATGTGAGCTCCTACGTCATTGTAAACAATGGAAGCTCGGTTGCTGTAGCAGATGGAGCATGAGCTCTTTCTTCCTAGTACCTACAGTCAGAAGGTGAATCAACCTCCCTTTGTCTGCTAGCTGGAAACAACTGTCAACCAAGCAGATTCTAACTATGACGTACTAGAGCTATCCAGGTAAGGAGTGAATTTGGTCTTAGCTTCCTTTTGGAGAAAGGGACCAGCATATAAACCTCATCTTCTCCCCAACTTTTCAATTGCTTCTCCATCAACATTACATCTCTCAACTCTACACTACAACTTCAACAACACAAACAACTTCAAACCAAACCTTAAATCAACTCTTCAAACCCTTTCAAAATGGAGACTGTTAAGGTAAGTCTCTCTTGTCTACGACACAACATATGCCTACAATCTAACCCACCCTAAGAATACCGCAAATTATATTGCAGAGACCGTTCAAGGTGCCACTGCCACCACCTCCAAGGAGGCCAACAAGCAAGTCGCCAAGGACAGCGATGCCAGCCTCGGCACCCGCGCCAGCGCCGGTATCGATGCTGTTAAGGACAAGGCCGACGAGTCTGGACACAACACCAAGGCTGACGTCCACAAGGGTACGTTCTAGCCTTCCTGGCCTTTGCATCTTGAAGATCATATACTAACGGTTCCCACAGAGGCTGCCAAGCACTAAACTCCTCACCTCGATGGATTTCGCTCTCTGCATTCTATCATAATGACTTTGGCGTATGGGATGGATGGGAGGATTCCTGGGGAGGTGATGAGCCTGAAACTCATGTATTAGTGGTCTCAATACCCTCATAATAACGATGCTTTTATGATACTCAAACCAATCTGTCTTCTACCTTACCTTTGTGATGTGAATTTTAACTGGGCCATTGTCAGTCGGTTCAAATAAAGATGTCGACCACATTTCAGCCAACTACGCAGCTATTGTTCTGGCTAGAAGACCAAAAAAGTTGGTCACTACAGATTTTAACCTACCTCTTGGCTTCTCCACGCGATCGTTGAGGGAGGGTTTTGATGACGTCACATCATGGGAAGCTTCCGCTCCGACCATGTTTACGGATTAAAGTGCACCGCGTTCCGTAAAGTCGTGAAAATTGCCAAAGCTTCACCTTTAACTGGAGCATTCATTCGAACGTGTAGACCGACAGGGGGATCGAGTTGTCCATTGACTTCAATTGTCTTTACCTCTCATTTACAGGAACTCTCCAAATCTTGGCAGATCAGTGAGTTGAACTTGAGTCAATTAACTTTTGCACGCCTTCTACATCTACCATGTCTTCCATAATGGAGCACATCGATCAAACCACCATCCTCTCTCTCCTCGGCGTCGTCGCAATTCTCGTATCCTCCTACATTCTCTCCATCCGCGTTCTTGCACCCACTACCCCTTCCTCCCTTCGCATCCTCTTCATCTGGCACTTCTTTGATTTCCTCATCCACACTATCTTCGAAGGCTCCTTCCTCTACAACTGCTTTTTCTCTCGCATCCCCTTCGATTCATCAATTGCCCATCCAGTCGCTATCTCTAATTTCTTGGGCACAAGCGAATATGTATATGGAGCACAATATGCAGATAATTGGGCGAGTAAATTGTGGATGGTTTATGCGCAAGCAGATCGAAGATGGGCGGGTGCAGATTTGACAGTGGTTAGTTTGGAGTTGTTGACTGTGCTTGGGGCTGGACCTTTGGCACTTTGGATTTGTTGGGGGATTGTGAGGAAGGATTGGAGAGTCAACTTTTGGATGGTGGTGCTTGCTACGGGGGAATTGTATGGTGGTATGCTTATGGGATTCTTCTGTCTGTCAAATGATAAAAAAAGTATTTGCTAACTTTGTACGCGAATAATAGGTTTCATGACATTTGCACCAGAATGGTTAATCGGCTGTAAGAATTTGGATACGAGTAATTTTATGTTCAAATGGGTGTACTTGGTATTCTTCAACATGTTGTGGGTTTTCTTACCAATATATGCAATGTATGTGGCATTCTGTGATATTGGTAATGCGATGCAGTTGAGGAATAGCGTTATCAGTGCAAAGGTAGAGATGATGAAGCGAGAGAAGAAGAAGTGAGGTTAAAGGGAGTGAGTAATATGGGGAGACATCTTGGGCTTGTTAGGATACCTGGGTTTGGGAGTCGTTTAAGTTATATCATACCTCTTAAGACTATATGTTGTATCTACATCTGTTGTATCTACATATATTGTATCTACATATATTGTATCTACATATATTGATCTACATATATTGTATCTACAAGAACAATATAACATTCATCTCAATAGCGGTACCTAGCATCTAGTGAGCAGTTTGGAACGTTCTATAGAGGGTATATGTTTCAACGTAACGACATTATGGAAACCAGATTTTACGGCTAATACTTAAACGAACCAAAATACAACCATGCAGCAATCAGGGCTCAACTCGTTATATTTCATAGTTTGCACCTGAGTATGCAACTTCTATATGATTCTATGAGTGATGTACAAGTGTACGGAATGTAGGTATTGTTGAGTTCAACTGTAGATGCCAATGTAAGTGCTCAGAAGGGGTTTGGTTGACCCTGCGCTACCTATTTCCACGTCTTTTTGGGTTTGAATTCCCTCGGCCCATAAACATGCCGGTATGAAAGGCTACTGTCAATACCTAGGTACAGGTCATCGGCGATCAGGTCTCATTTAGAGATTGGAAGGTGCTGAGAGAACTCCTCCCATAGTGGCTGTGCTAGTATTTCACGTGATCAATTGATAAAGAACCTCCAGCTCTAGCTCTAGCTCTAGCTCTAGCTCCAGCTGTTTTCGAACATTGTGGCTTATCAGCTTCGTTTTTCCTCTCCGCCACTGACGAATCAGCAATCATGGTTGCAACCTCGATCCCTTGATCCCTTGATCTCGGCCGTTATCGTTTTGGCGGCAACTGAGAACAGCCACCAAAGTTACTCCAAACCTGCTTCGAAGAGAAGAGTGAAGACTCAAATAAACAAAGGAGGGCCGAGCGAAAACAACCAAAAACAGTAAAACAGTAAAACAGTAAAACAAAGAAAACTTATACGAAGAACTAGGCTTACTTAATGAAGGTTACCCCACCCACACCCCCTCATCTACTTGTTTATTATCATCATTGTTGGTTCCCCGCTGACGAATGGTTCGATTTATAGTTTATAGTTTATATCTTATAGTTTATAATCCAACCCCGGCTCCATTTGACGACATCATCTGCAGATCTTCATATACTTCATATACTTCATATACTTCATTCTTCTCTAAACTCCCATATTTCATTCTTTATTGTCCACAATTTCGACTTTGGATCGGATCTGATATTGTCCCCATCGACACCTACATATACCTACATATACCCACATATACCCACATATACCCACATATACCCAAAATAGTAACACAAACCTTCATATATTTATTTCATCATGAGAGGTGGCGGCGTAGCACTCAAAGCCCTTCAATGGTTCCTTCGCGGCGTGGAATTCTGCTGTTCGGTTATCATTCTTGGAATCTTTGCCTATTTCCTCGCCAAACTCTCCACCAATAATCTTCCGATCGCTACGTACATCAAAGCCGTCGAGGGTATTTCGGGTTCGGGTGCACTCTATACAGTTCTGGGACTCAGTCTTCTCTGTTGTGTCGCCGGTTTGATGTTCTTTTCCATCATCGCTATTATCCTCGATTTCTGCTTTACCGGCGCATTCATCTATGTAGCTTATGCCACTAGGCATGGTAGATCATGTTCCGGATATGTGAATACACCTTTGGGCAATGGAATCGCGGCCACGAATCAAAGACTTTCTGGAGTGGGAGCCTCGAGAGACACAACTCTACCCAGTTTGTCCGACAGCTGTAGATTGAACACAGCTTGTTTTGCTGTCTCGATTGTCGCTGCGTAAGTGTACCTTCTATTTTTATCCTTTCATTTTATGTGCAAAGAAGCAGTCAAGGAAACACGAGACATCACATTTAACATTAAAATTAGTGTTTTCTTCTTCATCTCACTCTTTGTCGAATTGGCCCTCATCAAGCACCACAAAAAAGAAAAGGCATTCGGTCCATCTCCCAGCAATGGCTATACAGCGGGTAGAACCCGTGGTAGATTCTGGCCAAAACGTCAACGAGTTCACGATGGTGAATACATGGCTGGAGGAGTTGTCTCGGAAAAGCCTGACGCATTACCCATCCACTCTACTCCTAATGATGTGAGAACCTCAAATGCTACAGATGCAACCATGGTGGCACGAACTCACGAAGGATATGGTTCACAAACTGGATATGGACATGCTCCTGTATCCCCAGTCGTTGGTACTCATGGTCATCAGGTTAATGGTGTGGACTATGGTACAGGCCCGGCCATGTATGCACCACCTCATGCAACAGAAATGCCAGCTGAGGGATACAGAGGAAGTCATCAATATCAAAATCCCAATGGTACTTTCTAGGTACTGTCGGAGCGATATTTAGATATATGAGATGGGGTGGGATGGAAAAATGATGCAGGCAAGGACCTGCACAACTCATTGCAATTTGGCCGATTATGTCTCCAAAACTGACAAAACTGTATATATGTTTGTAACGATACCACGATATTTTAATGCGTAATAATAAAATTTCTCATCAACAACATTGGTTTCCAATTTTCGTAATTGCAAGTGATCGCTCTCCTTTGCTCCTCGCTTGTGTTTTATCGTGCCGTATCTAGATACATGTCTCCACAAGATTCCAGATGAGTACTTCGAATATCCATACACCAACATTTTGAATCCGATCCTCAATGTCCTCTCCTTACAAATAGGCCTCTTGACCAATTCGCTTCTTCCATATGTTCGATATCTCATCTACATATTTATTCTGTTCCTTTACACCCATAGGTACCTACACTATTTACCATATCTGAAGTGTGTAATCCATCCAAAACATCCGGGATATCGAGAAAGATGATCGTATCCGAGTTGTCTAGATGATTTGTTTTCGAATATTTGTACGAGTTGGTTATTTCTATTGTTCTTGTTTGATATTGCAAGGTGAAACCTCAAAGTGCTATGGTGTATGATTCTTGAATATCTGGTTGTTTGGCATGTTTCCGACATCTCTGTGTCTATAAACAGCTACAGCCCATTACACGCCCGACCCATCGAGACCGACCATAAACAAATACAGCCCATTACACACCACTCCACTACGATATGAAATGTAAAACAAACATCCTAGCGACAGTGTCGCCCAAAATCCAACCTCAACCAAAGAACCCGACTTCTTTATGCCCACAAGGCCTCTCTGGTGACAGCCGCACTTGCGGTATTCACAACGAGACCATGTTGAATGACCTTGTTGGGTATATCTATATTGAGACGGGGTAAATGGAATGGGTGAAAAATAGAAAAGTCCATGTTATATGTGAAGTTTGTCCATATATCCGTCCCAATCAAAGCGGGATTTCCATCTCGCGAGAAATCTTTCCTGTATTCCCCCCCCGGAATCGAATGATACACTCTCCACTCTTCACTTTTCACATTGAACAATCTCAACACCCCCCCTCCCCCCGCCCTCTTCAAAAAATGACCAAAAACTCTCTACTCCCCAAACAACCATACATTTCTGCAAGAAAAATGCTCCCATCCGTACTAGCAGAAGTACTCAAACAGAGAACTCACGATTTCGCAAGAACAATCACCTCGAAAGGAAAATCAAAGCATCTAGATGAAGATGCACATCCGATGAATGGGGTTATCAATAGGAGGGTTGAGAGAGATGTAACAGATATCGATCATCATGGTTGTCGAGAAGTGGTGATGATGTTGTGGGTTTTTGTTGGTGTGAAATTTTGAGGACTAGGAGAGTTGAATGGGCAATGAGTGATGGGTAATGGAGGGAGCGGATGGAGTGATGAGAGGGGGAGAGGAATGAATGATATTCATACAATGCGACGATTCAGCATATAATTATAGTAACATGGTAATATAGAATACATTTATCCATTGTTTCTTCGCTCTTCAGAAACCACCTAAAACTCTAGACTAGTGTTTCTTGAAAAGAAAAGAAAAACACTTAAAAAAAACTGCACCATTATCGTCCATGGACAAAACACTCGAAGCGCAAATGACAATTGTTGGTTCCGTGGGCTAGGCTTCCTATCAACTAAACCAGACCTTTTGAGGCCATCCCATATCACTCAGCCCGATGATCCTATTAATGAATAAGCGAGGCCAACTTAAAGTACCTACCTAGACCAAGTTGGAAGCTTTACATCTCTCGGGTAGAGTGAATAACGGGGGCGAAGACGGAAGTGAAAATAAAGTTTTTAACAATCACAGACTTGAGAACATGATTCGACTTTAGCACATTCATTCAGAAAACAAAAAAAAGCAATATTTTGAACACGCACGGCTAATGATATTATAGTAACAGAAAAGATTTCAAGGTAAATGTTTTAGATATGTATAACTAAAATTATGTACAAGAAAGAACTTCGAATATGTACAGCGAGAAGTTCCAACAATATTATGTACATGATGAGTGGTACATTCAAGAATGAGCCCGTTTCAAAAGGTGAAAGAGGGCGAAAGTCATGAGCTCTACGAACAAATGAGTTCAAGAGTCTTCCTCTTTAGAGCTTGCCAACACCGGCATGGGCCACAACGTAAGCGGGGACCGAAGAAGCAGCAATCGCAGCAGGAACATAGCCACTTTCCTTGGCCTTGATGGTGGCCAAGAAGGCGGTGGTACCGTAACCTGGAAGAGTTCCCGAGCTTGAAACTGCATTTGTGACACAAGCACGGCCGAGGTATGCGGTACAAGATGATTCGGTTCTAGAAACGGTGGTGAAGATGGAACCTCTAGCTGAGGAAGAAGCAGCTGTGATAGGAGTTGTGACAGATTGGAAGTAGTTGCCCTCCAACAAGACTGCAGCGCCGACACCAATGTCGAAATCATCTCCTGCGATATTGTAGAAGTAGTTGTTGACGGCGTGCATGGTGATAGCATCGCCGGAGCTTCCACCGACCTTGGGGGCTCTGCCAGAGCAGTGGTGAATGTAGTTGTTTACGAGAGTAACGTAGTCTGCGGCACCATAGAAGAGCATTGTCTAGTAATGCTGGCCGTTGCAAGTGGCGGACCAGGAAGTTTGACCATCGAATTCATTGTTGGAGATCGTGAGTCTGCCGGCGGCGTTGTATCCAGTGACAAGCATTTGTCTACCGATGAGAGAGAATTTACAATGATCGATCCAGATCAAGTCTGTGCCAACCTAGAGATGATAGTTAGCATGCAGGCCTTTTGATCACTTTTACCTCAAGATACAAAGCTTACCAACGTGATAGCATCACCACCCCAAATCAATGAAGGGTTAAGGTTGGTGATATGAACATTTTGAATAATGATATTGGAAACACCAGAGAGATAGAGTCCTCGACCAATGATAACACCCGCGCTGCCTACACCAACAATACTCTTGTTGCTCTTGACCTGAATTGGGGTGGTACCAGCATTATCGTATTTGACCGTAGTTGCGGGAGCAGATCCACACCATCCATTCGCATTGATGGCATTTTGTCCACTAGATCCGCAGGTGTTGCTAGTTGGTACACAACCAGTTGCAGTGGTAGTTCCCAAAGTACCGCGGAAATCAAATGTCTTGGTGATAAGGATGACTCGTGGCGATGAGTCTGTAAGTTAAGAGACCAATCTAAACAAGTATATCAGTTGAGGCTCCTATGTCAATTATACACTTTGACTCACTCGGCAGTTGTAGTAGGTGTGACGGGGCTAGCACTTCCACCACCAGTTACCTAAACGAAGTCAGTATGCAAGAAAGGAGCAGTAAACCAATGAATACTAACTCCGTGAGCAGCACCTGAAGCTGATCCAGTAACACCTGCACTATGAGCGAAAGGCAGCAGTGCGGCTGTAAACCAAAACAAGAGAGAATGCATGATTGTGCTCGGTGTGATATTATTGAATGTTGACTTCACAATCTAGGAATTGGTTGCAATGTTGTGTAGTTAGATTTCGTTATTCGGAGGGGCATCTCTTTATATATTGTTGATCCTTCTGCCCCGCATCAACAGATGAGACGGAGGTCTCTCCCGATCCAGCATATTGTAACACCGAGAAACTCACGATGCCTGGTGGATAATTTTTACCATTAATCTTCCTTATTGAAATGCAGGACCATCTGTATGCCGGATGTTAATGAATTAGGAATCCAACAGTCAGGGCCCAGTAAGCCTAGGTATACCTCAGCGGTGCTCAGCATCCTGATGGCCACTGTAAATATTGGCATTTAACTAATCGCCGGTGGTTTCTGGAGCGTATAAAGAGTACAATGTCATCGGAGTCTTATGCCTGCGTGCTATAAGCGCCAACTACACCGGATCAAACCCCCAATCTAGAGTGCCAAGGTGATACCAAGATATGGGTTCAGCACTATGTGGTAGCGGGAAAATCTCTTGTATGATGGAAAAATCCAAATTTCCGCCGAGATCCGTGGGAGGAATTATCTATAGACTAGATGGAGGACAAAAGCTTGCGCACCAATGATATAGGCATTGCTGTTGAAGATAGAGGGCCTGAGTACGTGTATTATTTTCGGCCAATTGCCTAAATTGAATTTCAACACGTCGACTTGATGCCTGAAGATCACTTGACCTCTTTTGTAGGAAAATGGAAATGTGATTGTATATCACTTTCCTCTTTAGAACAGAATGAATCCGTATTACCGTCCTGATAAGAACAACATGAGTACAGAAAATCTAGAAGAGCCAAATTGGTAAACAAGAGTACTAGAATAGTCGGCGCAGGCTTCATAAAAAAGATTAACATATGGGCCATAAACCATTGAAACTGTAGTAATTTTCGACAGTAAATTATTTGTCGTGTATGTTCCCCAGATATGCAGATAGAAATTCTCCGACCGGTACCAATGCTGTCCTACAGTACTACTGGTACCACAGCACGTATTGACACCATGGGATTGGACTTGAGTGGGGGAAGGATGGCAAGTTGCCAAGATGGAATAATTACCCATTGTGCAGAAAAAGGTAAGCATCGTGACCTATAGTGGCACAGCTATTGCTTCAGATAAATCATCACGGGGAGTCTGTACAACGATGGGAATGTCACCGTTTTTGGATTTTCGAGGTCGATTCTCCCGAGTATACTTGTTTTGACGGGAGAAAAGTAATGAGTACCCGGGATTTGATCTCCGGATACGACATTTGACAGCGTAGAACTGATAGACGGAGGAGGGCTGTATTGTTGGCATACCCGTCGAAAAGTTCAACCCCCTTGGCTACTTTCGGGTCATGAAGCCAAGTCTAGGTCGAAATTACACACAGTTTCGTGTGAAGTGATTCCAGAAACATCGTAGGTCGTTTTTTCGGAAAATCATGCATCTCGTTCGAAAACTTAATTGTGTGATGCTGGAATAGTCTTAGAAAGGGTTTCTCCTGCAGATGGTCGAAGTTTTCGAAAGTATGAATGAAGTACTCGGTATAACAAGGTGACTAATTTAAGGCTTTACAAGCCCGAGTTATATCGACAAGAATGGGGGAGAAGCATTCGAAGTCAAAGCAGTATGGTTGATTTTGTACTTCTTCCCCCTTTGATTCTTGGTATTCCAAAGAGGAAAAGGGGTCCATATAAACGCTTGGTATGTATTTCCACATTGAGCGACGGCAGTCTAGACACCTGGGTAGGGATTCCAGCGACTCCTTTGCTGCTGTCAATGCTATTCAATTGTAAATCAAAAGTTTAGCAAAGCGTTGTTTTCCAGTAAATTCCTCAAGTCAGTCATAAATGTTCTGACGCTGATCGAATGATAAAAAGGTTTGCGTTGCAGCAGCGACAGAGTGGAAAGGGTGAACAGTTGGAGCTGCAAGCATCAAGACCAACCACAACCAGCCACAGTACTGCACGTGACGTGGCTAGGGAGCTCAAGCCTCAATTCTTTCTCAGTAGTAACCTCATGAGCTCGAGCTTCTTGAAATCGATCTCTCCTTTTAGTGAAGTTGCTCCTCACTTGTTCGCGCGAGATGATGGAGCAGTCCTGTCGCTCACCTGCTCATTGAGTGACCTTCTAAAAGACGTTTTTGCGATGAAGAAGGCACCTGTACCTTTGAGAGCCTTTCCAGCACTTGAAATCTACTTGCGGTGTTTCTCGTGAATACGCCCACTGAAATCTGATTTGAGCTTGCAGACACTGATGCTTGTGGTTCGCGAATTTTCTCTCTCATACTTCACGGTCGTGTTGCAGGACAATCCAAAAACAAACCAACGCGGTCGGTGATCTGGCCTCCAGACCAAAACCCAAGAATCAATACAATACCCTCTGTCCATTGAATGAGGATGTATGCTCTTATGTGCTTGGCCTCGGTTTCCGTCCCATACTCAAACAATTTAATCTCGTTATTTTAAATGACCCTGAAGTCGAAACTTCATTGTGGTCTGAATTGGCACTGCATAGTAGGTGTCTGCTTTGGAAACATCACATGGACCTAATGGAACATAGAAAATCAATGATACCAAAACTTCTATTATCGTCGAGGCAGATTTTCTCAGTAAATGCGCAAGTGTGCATTTAATCACAGCACATTGTCGGCCATGCAGACCGAACATGTTGGCCCTGATGAGTTTGTAACGAATGAACAAGGATTTGCGGATATTTAATTGGCCTACAACGACTATGCCTGACACATTATTGGCCAGCTTCCTTGATCATTGAAGAAATGGCGTGGTATCAGTTTCCGAACGAAGGTACAACTTTATTGTTCAGCCCCAAATCAAACGTTTAAGTAGGTAGACAGAATACCTCCGAGAAGCTAAGTTGTGTGGCAATAGAATCTGAAATCTACATATACATACTACATTCTTTACTAACCGATTGATCATGTCGAGTCCCGGGTATTCGCAGACCCATCTCTCTTCAAGTAACCGATCCCCCTCCATCTCGGCAAACCGGGCATCCAGTCTACCATCCCGGCCACGCCTCAATCCTTACAAAACACCCGATCGACCAACGTTGAGCAAGTTCCCTACCTCTTCATCTTCGGTCTCAAGCATCAGTACGATGTCGACTGCTCATAGTACATTTTCGATTAGATCTTTTAGACGTGATTCGTTGCCAATCACTCCACCGAATGATTTCAAGGAATCAATGGATCAGTGGGCAACTGCACGACCCCGAAATCTTTATGATTCCCCCATAAGAACGTCAAGGAATTCAAGATCTAGATATCAAGCAGCAGCTTTGCAATCCAAAGTTGCTGAGGGTCGAGATCGAATCGAGAGTAAAGGAGATGATGGTGAAGTTGACTATCAAGATGACGATGATGAAAAAGACCAAGCTGAAATGGTATTGAAGATGCCTGGGGCCTTTCCAACTGACATGGAAGAAATAGTTGTTAACAGGCATATGAGCTCGGGCTTTGCTAATGCCTACAATTCCATGCCTGTTCAGTATCCTATTCTTCCAGCGATACTTCCACAACGTCCAAAGTTTTGTTCTTATGGATCCTCTCGCAAAAGTACCCGAGCAATAAATGACGCTATTCGATCACTTCTCCAGAAACCGTTCAAGCATCATTGCGACCTTACTGCTGGTTACATATATGCATTTGAATCTCACAGGTATGCTCCTTGTCACATAAAGATCGGCCAATCGAGCAGAGCTCCAGAAACTCGCATGCGAGAGTGGTCGAAATGTGGAATGCCAATTTCCGAAATCTCCAGATCTGCATCCATCGTTCCATTCGAAACACCCAGCAGCAATGGCGAAGACGCTTTCTATCATTACACGTTAGTTAAGTCTATCATTTTCGAAGAGTTCTATAATCAACGCAAGTGGTTTGAATGTGAGGTTGGCAAAAATTACCAGCGCGGACCTAGAAGGCATACAGAATGGTTGGAAATTGATGTATAAACTGCAACTCATGCAATAAGGCGCTGGCGTACTTGGGTCGAAAGAGAGAAGCCATTCACATCGCTGGGGAGGCTAATGGCCTATTGGCAGTGGAGAGTCCCTCTTCTCCCTCTTTACCTCCTCTTTCTCATCCACCCCATCAACCCCATCTACCCCCACAATTCTCCTCCGTCTCATCCCATCCCATCCACTCTTCAGATTTCCTCTCTTCTAACTCCTTTCCTTTCCTTTCACATCAAATCATTGACTCCCTCTTGAATATCACATGGATGAATTACCGAAGAATTCATCGAGTATAAACTGGGATGATTGGACACGACCTGGGCTGTGGGAGTATTGGGGGTTCCGGCTAAATCAGCTTTTCCTTCAGGCTTCGAAGTTAAAACCACATGTTGCGAGGAGAGATAAGCAATTTTGGACCATGGGTTGCTTCTTCAAAAAAAAAAAAATCATTCTTTATATATACTCCCGGGTTTACCATATCCTTTGCAATAGTTTTATTCGCTCTGTGATTTTGCTTTTGGTGCGGGCATCATTTTTCTTGGGGAGAATTTGGAGTTGATGGTTGGCGTTTGCAAATGGACTTGTGATTGGCGAATGTCAAGTTTGAGGTGCGTGGTGGCAAGTGATCTAATCTTGTTATGATTCTCTTACATTTTTCTTCATGTGTCTTATTATACTTTTAAAAGGTTCGCTATCGCATCGTTCATCCAAATATAATCAATAACTTTGGTAAATTGACTTCAACAGGTGCCGAAGTATTCCTTTCAGCCGATAATCAGGGTAGGGGAGAAACGTGACCTTTTTGTTTCACCTCGGCAATCATACTTGGGTAGGCACGAACACTGTGGATGTGGACGGAATTGTAGGTACGCACATCAAAGCCGTACCATTTTCAGAACTCAATCATTAATCAATCGATCGATATGCCTGTTTCAAATCCAAGCAGAATTTTTTAGTAGCCTTTAATTTACATGACTGTGAAGTTTCTTCATATTTCAGGAAGATTTGCTAACACGAGTGTTTTTGAGGGCTTGTATGGATATAATTCGCGTCCACATCGAGCCGTCCACAAAGACTTTACACGTCGTATAATATTTGAATTTATAAAACAGTAGGATCACCCATAAACTATACTTGTGTATTTACAACTCTAGATACTACTCAAAGCCCAATCCTCAGATCAACGATGGCTCTACCACCTCCGCTTCCCCAAGGGCCAATCTACCACCCAACGCTGCCGGTATAGAAACGCATGACTCTTTGGCTCAAATTACACATCATCAGAACCCTTACCAAGATTTTCACCACGATACTCATATCGCCCTATGTACGCGGACGAGCAACCCTCCCTACATTCACCAAAACCTACCCCATCCACTCCTCGCTCACCCATAGAATCTTCATTCCCCCCACCTCTCCCCTTCAACCCAACATCCACGGCTGAGGATTCGTCTTCGGTATCCCTGCCATCGACGATGAATTCTGTTCCTATTTCTCCTCCAAACACAATATCCTAGTCATCTCCCTCGACTACTTCAAAGCTCCCAACGCCAAATTCCCTCAACTCATCAACGAATTAACCGATATCGTGACCTCCATCCTCGAAGACGATTCTCTCCCATTCGTCCGCTCTAAAGTAGCTATTGGCGGTTTCAGCGCTGGCGGATGTTGTTCTCTCGCAGTTCCACAAGCTTCCTCTCTTCAAGGCAAAATCCAGAGCGTATGTGCATTCTACCCCGTGTGTGGATTTGTGACGCCGCAATTCGTCTCGATTGCAGCGAGACCTTCTTATGCGCCTAAAGATGGTCTGGAACATATGAGTCCACTATTCAAATATGCGTATATACGTCCTGGAACGGATTTGTGTGATTCGAGACTTGGTGTTACGTATGTGGATAGAAAGATGTTGCCGGAGAAAATTTGTATGGTAGGGTGTGAGTTGGATATGTTGTGGTATGATGCTGAGTTCATGGCGGAGAGGTTTGTGGGAAGGAGAGGATGGAGGGCGAGACCGTTTGGGAGAAGGATGGGGTGAGATGGGAGAAGGTTAGGGTGTTGAGCATGGCATGTTGAGTAAACTTCTCTTTGTTGATCCCATGAGTATAAGGATGAAGGATCCAGGCTATCCAATAGTTTGAGCTGCATTTCGATAATGAGAGGCTTCAAATTTCTGGATTCAACTTGATAATTCAGAAGATTTAAAACGTTGAGATCATATCGAATGTTGGACTGCGCTTGGAGTTTGAAGACTTCCATCGAGTCTACTAGTCTAAACTAGTAGATATTGGTACTCTGAAAGTAAATATTGACATACTAACATTTATCTAGGATTCGAGAATTTTGGGGGACGCTAGCAAAGAGATAAAGTAAAGAGAGAGAAGTTAATGGCAACAGGGAGGAAAATGTATGATGCCGCTGCAGAGTGGTTATTCAGAGAAGTATACCATTAAAGTACCGCCTTCTTACCCTTATACTCTGCAATTCGATTCGTTGCGTTCCATCTACTAGATATAACCAATCTAGGTGTTTTTCGGGTCTTTGGGAGACCTGAGAGAACAGGAAGACACTCGAGATTAAGATTGGATATAAACCATCGAAATTAACTGCTCAAAAATATAGTCTTCCAAGCCTGAAGGACTCTGAGCAATATTAATTATTTATATTTAGATGCTATATTGCCTATCATCCTTTGAGCATTTGATGAGAACTTCCACAGTCCCAAACACGAAATAGTCCTTAGATATTATTGTCTCAATCTATCGTGATGAGAATCTTCATGCCTCTATTCAAGATACTCATACCGTGAAGAACTTTCTATGACGCGAGGATATGATTTTTGAGGACCCTAAACAGAAACAGAAAGTGGATAAAATACATCCTCGAAACCAACATCTTACCCTCCCTCGCTTCACCATAACTACCCCCGTCCGCCGATCCCCTCACCGGCTCAAAATTCTCCGCCCAAGTCCAAGTCCACATACATCTCCATCTACCTATATGTCCACCTATCAATTTTTTACACCACCACAGTCTACAGTCCAAAGTCCCCTCGTATACATATCCCCATCTCCATACCCCCAATATCGCCACCAGAGACATATTCAAAGTGTATTATCATTGTGCCAGCCAAGAAAACCCCGTTGTTTCAAATTCTCGATCCTGGCTTGGCGATCATTCGGGAATCATGCGTTTCCCAAACGAGGTTTGGGTAGCCAGAGCATTGACGCTTCGGCTTGCGGGCACTGCCGAGGGGTGGAAGGCTCTTGGACCTTGGCTTTGACACTGGAAAGTTGTGGGTCAGATCTAAATCTCTAGATCGTGGCGTTGGTGGGAATTTCCCTTTATTTTGGATTCATTCTAGAAGGGGAAGAGGAGAGTGAGAATTGGACTTGAGAGGAAAAGAGTCGGTGAGAATATGAGTAAGAACGAGGCAGAATTCAAGTGAGTGACAACAAAAGGTGGATTTGAATTTGAATTTCTCTTATATTGATATATCTATAGATATATGAATTGCTTTATCTTGCTTTTCTGCCCATCATTGATACCCCCTAAGATTCCATCCTCACATTCAAATTATAATGTAGTAGCTGTGTGCTATACTTCCAGCTTGACCCAAGCCATGAAAACGCCACCATAAGAACCAAAGAAAAAGAAGAAGAGAAGAACACACTCACAGCTACTATGCCGTGTAAATAATAAGAAATGATCTCTTAATCTTTTTGACGCTTGTAAATTACATATCCAATCCATCCCCATTCATATCCATTCATTACACAAAAGCGAGATGGGAAATCTATTCCTCATCGTCTGCACTCCTTGTCTCCACAAAAGTGAGCTCGGCAACTGATCCCTCGATCATATTGAGGTTAACACCATCAATACCTGGGCTTGGCTCACGCTTAGTGACTGCTGAACCGTTGATATCTTCGACGTTGCGGACTGTGGAGATGGAGTTTGTTTGTCCAACTATTGTACTGACATGTTAGTGTTACATTCTATGATTGAGAATGAATAAATAGGAGAGTAACTAACCAGATGGTCCACCACGAATAAACATAGTAGTGACAGTAGTCTTGATCTTGGGGTCGGCAACGCCGTCCTCACGTTTACCCATCTTAGTCTTTGCGGCAGTACCAGCAGCGGCAGCCGTGTTTCCAGTGCCTCCAGCTTTAATGAGGATACCAACACCAGCGTCTTCGGTTCCGAGTTGGACTTCGGGGCTGGTCTTGATGGCACCGGCAGCATAGTTGAGAGCGGCCGTCAAAGTTTGGATATCACGTTTTGCGGCTCTGTCTACATCCGATCTTTCGAGCTTGACAACACGGGGTGCGATTTCCTTGCCCATTCCTTGGAGAGCTGTTACTTGAGCTTCGGTCTTGCCTTCAGTACCTCCCTGAACGGCGGCGGGGGCGGCGGGTGCGGCTGGTGCTGCTTGTGCTTGTGTTGGGGTTGTGGCAGCGGCTGCACCACCGTTTGCTGCGGCACCATTGTTTGCTGTGGCACCACCAACGGCAGCTCCTTCGAGCGCGTTCATGAGGTTCGATACATCTGCTTTCCCTCCGAATGATATTTCACCATCACCGACTACCAAGGCAGGTGAATAGGCGCCAAGGTTGATGTTCAAAGGGAGTGCCGAGATGCTAGTGGCGATCATGGCTATAAGAAGATAGTTGCTCAACATTTTGAAAGTGGGTTGCGAAGGGGTGCTTGCGTTGAAGGCGGGCTGTGAAATAAGGGTAAGTGGGATAAATTAAGTGAACGAATATCTTGAGCGTCAAGCTTAGATGTGTAAATGAAGATCAAGAAGAGTCAAATGGAGCACAGCTGAGGAATTAAAACTCTTGGGTGCATGAGGACAAGACTTCTTATATCAAGAATTCATACTGAAAATGCGTTGCCAATAATTTCAGAGGCCGTGCAATGTAGCTCTAGCCAACCCCACACCACACCCACGGTTCCCAATATTGAGGTTCTGGCCAATCGAATAATTTTCCTATTCAGAGATGCTAACAGTTCCCAGGTTTTGATTGTGAACCTTTTTCGCGTAGGATGAATGCCAATACTTCGTCAAACGCCAAGTGACACCATAACGCGATGCACAGGAATGGTATCAAGCTCTCGAGAGACTCAGCACAGACCAAATGCGAGGAAGCAATTATCTTGGCTATGAGTGTGAAGTCACGGCGATGTTTGGAAATAGCTTTGGTAAGTCTGGCTATGCTTCTTTGACGTTAGCTTTCTGATAATTCCAGTTCTTGGCAGGTTCTAGCGTCGTATGAGAATCCCTTAAAGGTCACAGCGTAAACCCCGAAATCTCTGGAAACGAGTTGCATCTCCAGACATTTCACAATTTGACATAGTATAAACAGATTAAGTTTCCTCAGAAATTCCATTTTGACAAATCTCCCCCAACGTTTGACGTTTTTCATCGCAAGTCTTGGCTGACATTCTGCAAAACCCTGCATATGTGTGTTCTCCCAAGTTCCAACCGCGGATCAACCTCAAAATGATCCAAATTCCGGTCAAAGGAAGCAAGTATAGGTAGATAAAATGGTAGTAGGAACTTTCCTTTCAAGGGGCTAAAGTTTGAAGACGACATTAAGGAAATGAGATGAAAGCAATTCTGTTTTAGTCGACGCCACATTGTTTGGACGTAGTCTTGCGGTCGTTTTTCATACCTAGAAACTAGATATCAAATGTATCTACGTGACTAAGAGTTGGAAAGCCATATCGAGCTTTTTGAACTAGTAATGGCTCAAAAATTGAATGCATGAATTGAACTTACATCCCCTTCCCAAAAATGAACCAAAGCACTGTGGCCCATCACAATCTCAATAATTTAGAGTAGGCACGCGAAGTGCTTAATCTTCCATATCATACCTGATCTGAGGAATCCATCTTTGTTGCTTCATTCTGATACAAAGGGCTTGCCTCAACTTCTCGCACCCATAATTGCCAAGGTCTTTCTACGGTATCATCATTAAATTTTTCGGAATCAGAAGCTTGTTCGGCATTCAAAAACCTAAGAGGGCCAAGGTCAGCAACTCTTTCCTCGGCATTCCTGAGCATAACAGCTTTTGCTTGGAGACCCGCGTTGACTTGAGTATAAATGGCACGGTAGATGGCTTGCTTGATACTTGATCCTACCGTCGTGAAACCGTGATTCGCCATTAAGACGACGTTATAGTCTTGGGTGCTTGATTCCGGCTTGGAGAATTTCTCGGCCAAGGCACTGCCAAACCGTCCAGAGTTCACCAAGAAGTCTTGTCTATCGTTCGAGGTGTATAGCTCCGTGATATCAAAATTAGGTACGTGGTCACCTATAAGTATTCATTATATACATATTCATGCATCGTTCCCGGAAGAGTATCATACCTAGGAACCCAGCCATGTGAAATATCGGTCTCATCTGGACTCCGTTCATCGTGTAGGGTATTACAGCTTCGGCATGACTGTGGATAACGCAATTGATTTCTGAAAATCTCTTGTAAATTTCGCTGTGGATAAACCGTTCTTGATACCCTTTCTTCGCCTTCGGATCTACTGGAGCACCATCGGATACATTATAATGTACCAGGTCGGAGATTGAAGAGACCAATGCTGGCGCGGTCGATGCCGACATGATAAAGATACCTGGGTTGTCCGGATGACGAACAGACACATGACCATAAGCATCGACAACATTTTGATGATGCAAAATATGATTCGCGTGGATGAGGGTTTGAATCTGAAGGGGCTATTGATTAACCTAGGTCAACAATCTTACACCATTCTTGATCATCCAATCTTTGGAGTTTCGAAGAGCCCTCCTCCCAATATCAAGATAGCACCGATTGTCCACGCACTCCTCAGACTATTTGGGAAGTTATGTTCTCGACAGCAAGAGCTTGCCAGCGCCCCATGTCTTTATCCGAAATGTTTGGATGAGTACATTGAGTAGATGCATGAGGACACACAAACTGGGCCAAAACTTACAATTGAGTTTTTCATTTTCAATGGGTCTCACAATGTCCCAAAGTATTACGACCAATCGATACGACTTGACATGAAATTGTGATTTTGTAAGACGATGTTGATGTGATGACAGTGATTGTGTCAACAGCGTTGGGAAATATACACGATATTATTATTTAGTTGTTGATAGTCCATCGGATGGAATCACCCGTGGCAGGATGATAGGTCGGTCACCTGCTTTCAATTCTCCAAACCTCGGTGTCTCCACAATCCGATCTATCTATCTTGTAGATAGCGCGCACCGATTTACTGCAGACCAGGTCAACATGTCACATGTAATGACTTAATAGGGTTAACGGGACCGAAATTGCCGCCCAGCAATATTTCACGTCTTCGTATCTTCATATCTTCAGGTCGTGGTAGAATCGTGAGAGTGCAGAAGCGACAGTATGATGATAATAATCATTGATGGACGACGGCGAGGTGCGAAATGTGTGAGGTCGCTTGGCGTTCTTATTTTAGAAGGTCGCACCAATAAATTCCAGCAATCTGTGTGGCTACCTTCCAAAAACTACTTAAAGAGCCACGACAACAACCATCAGAATCATTACAAGGGAGGATGGGAACTTTTTACTTTTTCTATCATTATCTTCAGGGGATTTCGAGCCTGCACAACATCTCACCTCCTGTCGTTGCTCTAGGAGAAAATCTTTTCTCGGCGAATGATAACCGAGTGGTAGGGAAGTTTATCATCTATCATCTATCATTCGCTACACGGTAGGAATACGTAATGTACCTGACTATCGATTAGCCTTATTAACTTTCTTCATTGACTGCTTGGGGAATCATGTCCTTTCATTTGACTGCCGAACAGGGGATAAGCATAAGATGGGGATCAATATAGTATCAAGCCTCGGTTCTAGCCCATTTAGGAACCTTGAAAACATCGTAGTTCGATACCACAATTGACCTATGAGCATGGAATGTTACCATTTCTTCCAGCCGTTCCTTTCTTATACACCTTCTTCTCTTAGATAATGTCTCTAATACAACCCCAACACCAATGGAGGGTGACACGTTTTGGTGAAGATTGCTTATCACCCATGGCGAATGAGTGCAATTTGGAAATGTTATATCTATGGCTTCGGCGGAAGTCGTGAATCTTCTTTGCATGAAATAGAAGCATCGCTTTCCCTCGCTTTCCCTTGGTATTGAAACTTCGTGCAACAATGACGCCCTCAATTTCTAAAGTTCTTTTGCCATTTGTGCTTCTGGCACCAGCTGCACGTGCAGCCAGTCTGGCTGCAACTCCGTTGGTATGTTCGAATCCAGCATTGAGCTGTAGCGGTTCCAGTACCAATACTTGTTGCTTCAATACTCCTGGTGGCCAAATGGTTCAGACCCAATTCTGGGACTCCAATCCTAGCACAGGTATACAAATTTTCTTTTCCTCCCAACCTCGCTTCACAAGTCAGAAACTAATCATACTCAAGGTCCTTCCAACTCCTGGACAATCCACGGTTTATGGCCCGATCACTGTGATGGTACCTATGATTCAAACTGCGATACCAGTCGTCAGTATTCAAGTATAACCAACATCCTTTCTGCTGCCGGCCAAACATCCTTGCTCTCGTATATGAATACCTACTGGGTCAGTGATGACTCTACCAATGAGGTATTCTGGGAGCACGAGTGGAACAAGCACGGAACTTGTATCAGTACTCTTGAGCCTTCCTGCTACAGTGGCTACACCACCGGTGCAGAAGTCGTAGATTTTTTCAACGTTGCTGTTGATCTTTTCAAGATTCTTCCTACCTACACTGTAAGTAGCTTTCCACTTAAGCGAAAGAAAGAAGTAACTAACATCGCCACAGTGGTTAGCCAATGCTGGCATCGTGCCTTCCACCACCAAAACCTACACCTCTGCTCAAATCCAAGCAGCCATCACCGCCGGTTTCGGATACCCTGCCACCATTCAATGTACTTCTTCCTCTCTCAACGAGATTTGGTACTCCTTTGAGGTACGCGGTTCCGTTGCTACCGGAACCTTCGTTCCCATTGCTCCCGTTGGTCAATCTGGAGATTGCCCCTCTACCGGCATCAAATATGTTCCCAAGTCCGGCTCTGCTATCCCAACTACCACAGCTGGAGGTGGTGGATCCACTACCACCACCGCGACTGCTCCTGGTGGCACTGGTAGCTTCTCTGGATCTGGTTATTTGGAGGCGTATGTTGGAAGCACCAATAATGGATGTTTGATTAGTGCAGGTACCTGGTACACTAGCGGAACTTGTGCTACATACACTGCCACTGCTTCTGGTAAGACTCTTTATTCCCACTCCTGATGAGAAAATGATTGTCAAAAGACCTACCTCAACTCTTCATCTACCATCAAACGAACACCACTAACTCTCCTCCTAGGTACCGGCTTCACCCTGAAGTCCTCTAAGGGAACGTGCGGTATCTCCGGCAGTACATTTTCCTGCGGCTCCGGCGTCTCTACCGTTTTCGGAGTAAGTTTTCTTCCTCCCTTTCCCCTCATTTCCTCTCCCCTTCCCTTCCCCTCCCATGACAAATCCCAACCACCTAACTAACACCCCTCCAGTCCTCCGGTGGCTACCTAACCTACGGCGGCTCATCTACCTTCTACGCCACCGCCACCCCATCCGGTTCTACCCAAGCAACCGTCTACACCTCCAGCCAAAGCGTTTCTGTAAAATTCGCTTGGAGCGCTGTCTAAGTGCATTTTCTTTACTCATCGCGTTGGTTTACTTTGTCACGAAAAAAGAACACGGTCAAGGTGGTGAAAAAGGGAGCGGCTCGAAATTATCAAGGCCGTGAACAAGTGTTGTAGCATAGAACGGCAAGCGCATGACAGGAATCGGTTGTATTTAGGGGACAATTGAAATTTACACGAGAACTGAATCTGATCTAAATTTACACATGAACTTTTGCTTGCCGAATTAAAAAAATTCCCAAAATCTAAAACTAGTAGGAAAGTCTTACCATACAAACCCCCATCCAAGTCTTACACGTACACCTCTTACCACCCTTCTTCACCCCATCCCACATCCTTCTGTGCCCAATCCTTATATACGATAACCGCCTGCTACACAACTCACAACTCACCATTACACCCCGCCGCTTCCTATAAAACCCACAAAGCGCATTCATACATACATATGTACTTTTTTTTTTTTTTTTTCAAACGTCAAAGCCTGTGCCTCCCTCCTGCCGCGCCGCATCGTATCGTATAATATGACCACTCCAATCCAATCATGAGTCACGGAATGCACTGCGCCGCGCCGCATTCACGTCTTCGTACACAATTGCGCTTATATCCAAGCAAACTTCAATTACTAGGAAGCGCTTGTGCCGCACCAGCATTTATCTTATTTTCCACTCCCCGTCCTTACTTTTCGCTTGCTACTTCTCCCCATACAACTTGTATGTAGAGTGGTACATCACACCGAATTCGCCCATAATGTATTATTATTTCTTCGCTGTACATATGGAGAGCCTGACGAGCAGCACATGACCCCTGTAAAAACTTGTTGTCTCCTCTACTCTATCAAGTCTCTGTATCCCTCACATCTCATTTCTCAGAACTGATAGTCTGACTATGTATTGTGTTGGATATTCGAATTCGCATACAAAGTTAACAAAGCAAAATGTCAACATTAGCAATACCAGATATCGATCAGCAGCCCTTTAACCTTAAGCTTAATCGGCGACTACAAAGCAGCTCTTGCATCTAACCCCCAAAGATAATGCTTGCCCCATGCATCTCAATTTTTGAAAAGCGTTTAGAGTTCTTTAATTCGGCATCAGCGCCAACATCACTCCAACGCCAAGCATCCCCCTCCGCCGCCAACATTTATGAAAACCCATAAATTGCCCATTTCCGACCTTTTGCCCCGTAACATATCACCCCGACCTTACTATTTACCCTATGCTCAGTTATCACAATCTATAAAGAGAAGGAAGCTCGGACGTGAATGTGACATACCTAGTATCCTTAATCTACGAACTTTTTATTCTTCAGTAAATTCGATGCAGGGCTGGAATTCTGTGCCATATTGGTGGATCCATATGTGACGTTTGAATTCATGTTTATGAGGCTGATTGGGGACCTCGTGGTCTTGGTAAACGCTGACGAAGTGAAATCTTTCAGAAACACTCAATGTCAACAAGTTTTTCCAGTCACATTTCGCTGGAAATTCCCTTCCTAGACCCTTGCTTATCAAGTCCAGCTTGCAGAATTGAGTGAAAGAAGCGTGAATGAACGGGCTTTTTCTTAGGGCAATAAAGTTATTCAATGTAATTCTGCTGCTGGACTGCCCAGTGAATGTGTTATTTCAACTCACAATGTACTGGCGTAGCTGTATCCGCCGCTTCCCAACTAAAGTATTCGAGATGGAGTCTGAATGTGTAGTGATCTATATAAGAGGCTCTCGTCGTTCAGCTTGAGATGCTATCGTGGTATCAATACGTTTCTTTCCAGATCACATAGATAGCTCGACTTTACTCACCTATTTATTGTGCTTTTTTAATACCACAACCATTTCTCTGTACACTCCATCTTACGCAGCACTAGTTGCGAACCTTTAAATATGGCATCTCCTTCCGGCAAGAATGTGCACTTCGTGGGAAGTGTTTGTCTCCCTGACACAACCACGGTTTATCGTACACTCAATGCTACCTTTCCCACCCAATTAAAGCGTATGCCCGATGGTGAGCCCGGAAACCGAGGGGACTTTGTCCTCTGGCAAAGAAGCGTGTTCTATAGATACCCTTATCTACTTCGCTCTTTATATTTTTCCCTGGCTAAGGATCCAGGCCCGATTCCCATTTCTCCTGAGAAGATCCAACTCATGCCTGTTGGATATGATGATGCTGCCATAGACTCGTATGCTACTTTTTGTAGACTTCGGGATGATGGTATTATACCGAACAGGGTAAAATTTCAGGTTTCACTTCCTACACCCATCAATGTCCTTCACGTAGCAATCGAGCCAGCTTATCAAGAAGCAATA